CACCTCGCCAATCAGCAGCTGGTGAACGGTTACCGGCGCTTTGACCCCACGCGGGGCATGGAGTACACGCTGGACCTGCAGCTGGAGGTGGTGACACAGAAGGGGCACAGCCGCTCGCTCACCCGGCGCGTGCACCTGGTGCGGCCCCTCAGTGAGGTGGAGATCATCCCCATGCCCTACGTGACGGAGGCCAGCCGCATCAACGTCATCCTGCCACTGACGGCCCATGACCGCGATCGCGCAGGCCGCTTCCTGGAGGCCTATGCGGCGGCCGCCTTCGAGAGCGGCGAGAACGCTGTGCTCACCTTCCTCTTCATCTACGACCCCTTTGAGGCCCAGCAGGTGGCACAGAACGACGTCTTTGCCGCGGTCAAGGCCAAGATCACCGAGTACGAGCGCAAGTACGCAGAGGTCAAGATCCCCTGGATCAGCGTGAAGACGGACGCGCCCTCCCCAATCAAGGTCATGGACATCATCTCCAAGAAGCACCCCGTGGACACGCTCTTCTTTGTGGCCGGTGTGGGCACCGAGGTCACCACTGACTTCCTCAATCGCTGCCGCATGAACACCATCAACAGCTGGCAGGTCTTCTTCCCCATCCACTTCCAGGGCTACCACCCGGCCATCGCCTACCCCCACCAGGTGCCGCCTGCCATCCTGGAGCTGGGGCGGGACGCGGGGCACTTCGACCGCCACGCCTTCCACGAGGCCTGCTTCTACAATGCCGACTACATGGCGGCGCGGACCCGCCTGGCGGGCGATGCGCAGGAGAACGAGGACATCCTGGAGACCCTGGACGTCTACGACATGTTTGTCAAGTACTCCAGCCTGCACGTCTTCCGGGCCGTGGAGCCCGCCCTGCTGCAGCGCTACCAGCAGCAGGCCTGCAACCCCCGCCTCAGCGAGGACGTCTACCACCGCTGCGTGCGGAGCAGCCTGGAGGGGCTGGGCTCCCGCTCCCAGCTGGCCATGGTGCTCTTTGAGCAGGAGCAGGGCAACAGCACCTGAGCTGCTGGCCGGGGGCACCCAGCCCAGCCCTCCAGCCTGCCCTGTCAGCCCGGCTGGCCGGGCCCAGCCTCCCCCGAGGGCACTGGCTCCCTGTGGACAGTGGGAGCCGGGATGAGTGAGGACGGGGACTCGGACCCTTGGCTCTGCAGCATCGGGGGCGTGGGACTGGAGGTCGGGATGTTGGCGGGAGCCAGGGGTCTCCCGAGCCAGGTGAGGGGAGCGGCTGGCAGACTGGCTGGCCTGGGAGGCAGGACCCTGAGGTCTGGTTCCAGCCCTGGCGCTGGCACTGGCCATGGGACCTTGCTCACCGCCTGTGCGGGGGCAGTGACACGGGCTGGCCCCAGGCAGCGCACAGTGGCAACGCTGGCGCTCGTGGCCGGAGGCGCTGGGCTGGCTGGGCCCTGCTCCCTGCCCTGCACCCTCCAGTCCCTGGAGCCGTCCTCAGAGTCCGGATGCTTTTTCCAGGCTTCCAGGCAACGTGTGCAGGACGCCAGGGCCTCTGCCCCTCCCCAGGCAGCAGGAGTGCGTGGCTCCCGTGTCCGGGATGCTTGGCCCCAGGCGTGAGGGGGGTGCAGGGGTCCGGGGCAGCTTGGCCTCGTTGTCCCCTTGGCCTCCGGCCTCCTGCCCTTTGAGCCGTACAGGCTCCTGCACCCAGGGCTGGGCATCCCCTTGGGTCTCATAGCCCCAGCCATGGGCTGGTGGCTCAGCTCCCTTTGCACCCTGGGGGCTTGCAGCTCCACCCAGGGCCCTGGTTGCTGGGGAAAGGTGGAGGTGCGGGGCTGACTTGACCCTCGTGCAGCAATAACGAGTATATTTCCAGTGATGTGCAGCTTTAGCAGCAGCCCCTCAGCCCGGTCGCCCCAGGGTGATGGTGCTGCAGGCTCTGAGGGGAGCTGGGACCCTCCGCACCCACGTGCGACGTGCTGCTCCCCATGGGAACCGTGACCCAGGCCGCTTCGGCCTTCGCAGTATTTCCGCAGGACGGGAGGAGGCCGCCGCCTCGGACGAGAGCCCCACAGACGGCTTGAAGCTTTAGCAGCAGCCCCTCAGCCCGGTCGCCCCAGGGTGATGGTGCTGCAGGCTCTGAGGGGAGCTGGGACCCTCCGCACCCACGTGCGACGTGCTGCTCCCCATGGGAACCGTGACCCAGGCCGCTTCGGCCTTCGCAGTATTTCCGCAGGACGGGAGGAGGCCGCCGCCTCGGACGAGAGCCCCACAGACGGCTTGAGCCATCTCTGCCGCTGCCCCGCGTGGCCCGATGGCCTCGGTTCTGCCGGCAGCCAGGCCAGCTGCTGCCATCGTCCTCCATGCTGCCAGCATCTGCCCGTGGATGTCCCGCGCTGGCCGCAGGCAGGGCCAGGGCCAGGGCCAGGGCAACCGTGTTGGCAGTGGGCCCCACACTGCACCAGGCACCAGCGACTTGGACTGGGCTGGCAGCGGGCAGAGCCGGGGTCGCCCCAGCTAGCGCGGCCAGGGCCAGGCTGGAGCGGCTGTGAGTCTCCTAAGGAGAAAGTGACTGTGGAGCCAGCCGTGCTCCAGGCTTGTATTTAACAATGGGGGTGGGCGGGGGGAGCGGGCGGTCGCGTTTACACTTGAATAAACCAGAGAGATGACCCAGCGTCTGGCCGTGGATTCTGGGCTGGGCAGGGATGGGGTGCCGTGGCCACAGGGGAGCAGTGGGGGGTGCTGTGGACCAGGTGAGGGGCCGGGGCTGAGCCTGTCCTCGGGCCCGAGAGCTGGGCCTGGGCCAGGGTCAGGGTCAGGGAGGTGCCTAGGCAGGCGGCTGCCCCTGCCCTGCTGTGTGCTGCCTCCAGGCTGCTTGCGAGCCCCTGGAGACCCGCGTGGCGCTGGTCACTGAGGTCCCGTGGTCCTTGTAGCAAGACCTGGCCCGGCTCCACCAGGTTGTCCTGGGTTTGCAGAGGCTCGCTGAGATGGGGGGTCTGTCCTCGGCAGGGGTCAGTGCAGCTCGGCTCCGCTCTCGGCTTTGCTCTGGTGCCGTAGATGCAGCGCTCGGGGCATGGGCAGTGTTGTCCACAGGTCTGGGTCTCGCAGGTCTCTTCTGAGCCTTGCTCCTGCTCACTCCAGGCTCTCCCTTGGCCCCAAGCCCTTGCTGGTGGCTTGTTTGTCCCTGCCCCAGGCCGAGAGCGCACCCTGCGCTGTTCCCAGGTGCGCGGCTGCGCAGGCGCCGTGGTAGATGCTTGTTCCAGTGCTTCCCCCTCGCCAAGTGCCCCGTCTGCGTGGCTGGCTGCCCCATCCGTGCTTGCTGGCCCATCGGGTTGGTGGCAGCACTGCAGATTGCCCCGTCCAGGCCAGCGGGGACCTGCCGTTGCCCTGGGCCATTGAGCCCTGTGCCTCCCGAGGGCCTCCCTGACCCCCTTCCCCTGCTTGATCTGCTGCTTTGCTTCTTCCCTTGGGCTTCTTTCCCCATATGCTACGCTGCTTTCTGCTCCCGGAGTGCCCCCCCAAACTCCTTCCCCTGCCCGATCTGCTGTTCTGCTTTTTGCTCTCTGCCTGGTCTCTTGCTCTGCTTTCTGCTCACTACTCTGTGCCTGCTCTGCTGCTCTGCTTTTTGCTCCCTACTCAATCTACTGCTCTGCTTTCTGCTCCCTGCCCTATCTGCTACTGTGTTCCTCTTTC